CCAGAGTTTTCTGGGATTGCCTCTCAAATAGATTAATGAAAAGCAGCTTTTTTCAGGAAAGAGCCCTCTGCAGAAGTTCCCTTTGTCTGGTCACTAAAATTAAATCAGGCACCCCCATGCCCTGCTCAACCCCAGCCCTACAGCACCTTTCAAATCTTTTGATCACACAATACCTTGCCTAATATGTTGGTTGCTTCCTAGATCAAAGAAGTAGAAATGGAGACTAAGTAATTATCAGATGACCAGATCTCTTTCCTAGATTCCCCTTCAGTCACCCGTGAACAAACTATGTGAACAAGACGGCGTCTAAAGGAAAATCACAAGAAATCGTCAAGCTTGCACATGCCGGGGGAAGAAATGACTCTGACCCCCATCTCCATGATTTAACTGAGGTCACTTCCTTTTTCCCTTTAAAACATTCATGATCGAGCAGACCCTTTGGAGTTGTTTTTGGTACACACTAAGTCCACCATCTCCCCAGACTGCCAGCATTCGAATAAAAGGCAACTGTCCTTTTTGCCAACATTTCTCACTCCTGAGTACTGATTTTTGAGTGGCGAGCTGCTGGACCTGAGTTTGGTAAGAAATTTTGATGCCCAATGTGGAGCTGCACTCTCCTGGCCATCAGGGACCTCTGGGCTTCCTTCTTGCAGCTTCTGGCGGTGGGAAAACAAAGGGTCGAGTGTGAAGACCCAGCTGCCTGTGGCAAGCTGGCCAGAAGGTGGTTCTCAGGAAAGTCCCAGCAGTTGCTGCAAAGGTTCATCCTGGGGATTCTGTCCATCTGTCCCCTGCCAAGCACTGGCTGCCAGTTTTCACTTAAGGTTGTGGGGATGAATTCTAAGTTCTAAACGGAACTTTAATATTTGAAAGCAAACCCTGGATCTCACCTGTTAGAAGTAAAATTGTAATACCCACTTTCCTCTAGGACTTCTTCAATCACAGTCTAAAATGGAAAAAGAAATCAGGTTAGTACTGAATTAAAAGCAACAAAATAGAATCATTCAGAGGCACTGCAGACACCTCACCTGCATCTGTTCATACATGATGCCCTACTCCAGATCAAAGCTGGTGGGAAGACCTGAAATAGAGAAATTATTGCAAGTCTGGCACAAGGTTCATGTTTTCTCAGATGGATTTTATTGGCAATCATAATTATGCAGTGAAAAATGTCAATTTCTTAATGATGAAGATGAGTACTTAGAAACACATTCCAAATTATCTTCACTTTGCATACTCAGATGCTTCGTTTCTCTTCCTTTAATAGCTTTCCACTTTTGGGGTGGCCATCAAAAATAATACTCAACATTTAAAGGCATTGGATAAACTGGTCAAATAAGTTGTGTGTGTGTGTGTGTGTGTATGTGTGCGTGTGTGTATGGGTGTGTGTGTGTCTTATGAACAGGAAAGGAGTGACTCTAAACACAAACTACCTGGAAGGCAAAGAAAAGGTTAAGAAACTCTCCCACATCCACAAGACAAAAAGAGTGGAAATGTATAAGCAAGGATAAATTCTTAGTGGAGGTAGTAATAGCCAGTGAACGACAACAAAGATCTGACCAATTCCCTTGGCTGCCAGGGGGGAAATAAAATGCACTTAAACCTAGAAGACAATATTTCTTTTGCCGTTTATTCTGAGTGCCAGCGCTTAACCTACTCTGGTGCCACCCAAAGCAGTGTTGACCATCTTCCACTCAAATCAATCAACACATAGAGGCCAGGAGCTCCCCTGACATACAGGAGAGAGAAGAGAAAGGGTTGAAGACTGAGGGGAGGCATAAGGATGTGAATTCTGGCAGCATGTTTTTTGAGCATGGCTTTAACCCCAAAGTGCTTCATGGTTCTGCTGTCTTCCCTTTTGCCCAGCCAGCTGTGACAATGAACACAACCATTCCGCTCTGGGGTGGTGTGTCCAGCTTCTGGAAATGCCTGTCAAGTCACTCTCTGACCACTGGGTGATTTCAACTGGAGCTCTTCCCTCATCGGAGCTGCTGCTGTCAGAAGTCTGGCCTGTGACTGACTGACCTTCCCTGGGAGATAATTTTAAAAGCAAGTGACTTTTTCCATTCTGAGTCTGTTTCTGTTTTGTAAATAACTTCAGCTGTCTTGTTTTCTTTTTAGATTCCACATACAAGTGATGTCATGTGATACTTGTCTTCCTCTCTCTGACTTACTTCATTTAGTATGACAATCTCTAGTTTCATCAATGATGCTACAAATGGCATTATTTTAAAATCTTTTTTATGGCTGAATAGTATTCCATTGTGTATATATGCCACATTATATTAAGTGAAGTCACTCAGAGGATGATGAATGTTG